CTCCCTCCCTCTCCCTCCCTCTCTCCCCTCTCTCCGCCCTCTCTCCGCTCTCCCGTCTCTCCCCTCTGTCCCCTCGCTCCTCTCTCTCCGATCTCTCCTCTCTCTTCCTTCTCTCCCCTCCCTCCCTCCATGCTCCATCCATGCCGAGGTGCCACGACTGCGGCGCAGCGGACACGAGCTTTGGCAGCTATGTGGGCCAGGTCGCAAGCCCAGGATGCTCTTTGCAGTCTTGCAGTTCCAAGGCGCCGTAAACAATACCTTAAGATTTAGAAGCCTCCAGAAAACGCCTGACTTTCATATCCTTGATTACGAGGTAGTGTTTTGGGCCCCTAGTGTGAGGCTGGCTCGATCACGGTGAAGATGCCGTCGCACCGGCTGATCTGTTGAGTTGTGCAGGGCTGGTGAAACGGCTTTCAGTTCGTCCGAGCCAGGAACGCCATGCCAGAAGCATATTTGGGCTTGACGAGTATCATGCCTGCAGCACCCTCAACTCACAGCAGTCAGCACCACTTTCTCGATGTTGCAGTTCACCACAGGACCAGTCGCCGGGTCAAACAAATCCTGGAAGTCCAGTTGCCATCGCGTTCGTGACCGGCTGTTGTGGTAACAACTTCCTCGGGATCTCTTGACGATGCATTCGGACAGGACGGGAGATGTTGCACATTACGCAACTGCAACTGGTCCGCTTCCTTTCGCTATATGTTTGTCTCCAGAGCATAGCACCACTTGTACGAAATCTAGGTCAGCAGCACCTGGTCTTTGAGATTATGCCAGGGCTGTTCAGCACTCAGTACATGACAAGCAAGACCTGTTTGTGGGAGTGCCCCGTGTTCGCCAGGGACGACAGTATTGCTGGAAGTCCCGTGGTCCGAGCATTCCACCCAGTCGTCCGTGAAGGTAGTGTAGGTCACGAAGAGATAGCGTAAAAAATCTTGCTGCCGCGGTTTCTACACTATCGTGAGGAAGTGCTGCTTCCACGAACCAATCTTCTGGAGGCAAGTGCTTTCAGTGTTGCGTTGGCTGTGTGAGACATCTTGGGGTTGTCTTGACTTGCCTTCCGTGGTCTTCCTTCCGCAGGATTCAGGGTAGTGTGTGCGCTCGCTGTGAGGGAGACATGGGTCTGTGCTGCAGCCGCACAAAGTTGCCGCCCCACCTTGCAGTGAAATACTCGGCAGCTTGTCCACCGATAAATGGTGATGACTTGCAGGATTCAGAACAGCTCCAGCAGTCCTGCGAGTTTAACCGCTCGTTTGACAACAGTCTGTGGCTGTTCTCAAGAGCATGGCAGCCGCGTGAGAAGTCCGTCTGGGCAACGCTGATGATAGTTCATGGCACAGTGGACCATTCAGGGGTCTATGCAGAGTTAGGTGAGTTCTTGGCGATGCAGGGCGTGGCGGTCTTTGCCTCTGACATGCGTGGCTGGGGTCGAAGTGATGGCGAAGCGCTGTATGTGGATAATATCGACTCGTTCATGGGAGACATCCTTTCTGACTACCAACGCATACATAGTTCTGGCTCACCATATGCGAATGTTACATCACGCTTTCTTCTTGGCAAGAGCATTGGAGGTTTGTTTGCGGCCTGGACAGCAGCACAGCACCGCGGCAAGTGGACCGGCTTGATTGGTTTGTCGGGCGCTTTTCAAATCGATCCCTCGGTAAAGCCGTCAGCTGCGGCTTTGGCGCTCGTTCGGGCCATTGCCAGCTGCGCACCGAAGCTTGGACTGAAACCGCCCTTCGATCCGAAGCTCATCGTGAGCGATTCGGGGGCCCTTGAAGCCTGGGAGCGGGATCCCCTGGTGAGTCGTGGCAAGCCTCTTGGCCTTAAAGCGCAGAAACGCCGCGGCCGCCAACCGTTTTGTCATAGCTGTGGCTCTGTGTCCTCCGAGGTTGACAGCAGGCTACATCCTGGAAATGCTTCGACTTCAAGAAATCCTTCCAGACCAGCTCACGCATCTTTCGATTCCGGTTCTGATGTTGTGGGGCACCGGCGACAAGGCTCCTTGTGCCGAAGCCTTGCTGTTTGTCGTTTGTCAATGAGGGTATCAGGTTGATCGCTCATCCGTGAACACGAAAAGACAGACGGGCCTCTTGTTGTGTCTTACTGCAATTTCCCGGGCTTAGGTTGTCACAGAAGCCGGCCATACCTTGGTCTTGGAAGCATCCAAATCTCCGGCATCACAGTTCCTGCGCTACCAAAGCGGATTTCACAACCTCCTCGCAGAGCCCAAACTCAAGGAGACTGTCGCTCGCGATCTCTGCAAGTGGATGCGTCAGCTGTCAGTCTAGGTGTACAGAGTTTTGGTCAAGCGAATTCACCCACAGAGGTGTGCGCGCAGCAGGCTCTTGGACTTGTTTCAACAATGAGGTAACGTTTGACATGGACGTCGACCAGGCCATTTGGCTGCTTGCGGTGTGAATGTCGCACCGGCACTGCCGCCTGGCGCCCAGCCCCAGCGGAATTCTGTTGACGCGCTCAACCAGAATCGTGCAACTGGTCTTTTCGCTCTCCTGTTTGTGCAAAGAGCTGGCGTGCTGTGTGCAGAAAATGAGACGTTCAAGCGGAAGCGACTTAAGCTGTTGTGCGAGTTTTTCATATACACTTTGACCAATAACAGGCCTAGCCGTAAACTGCGCGGAGTTGCCCATGTAAAGTCCCTGTGCCAGCCTCTCGTGCCATCTGCTGACACCGATGAGCCCTTGGAGGCCGGTGCAGGTAAACGGCTGCCTCCTAGTGTCCTTGCACCCCCAGCCCTTGGGGCCATTTGTTACTGCGTGGCTGTGTGGAGGCTCGGCAAGACTTCTGTGGCAAGATCTTTATCGAACTATGGTCGGAGGACGGATGCTGTGCTTGACTCGCCCAACAACTCAACAACATTGTTGGATGAAGTCGCGTGTATCAAGGACCCTGACGGGTTTCCAATGCCGGATGGATGTTACTACAGCGAGGACATTCCCACATTGCTTGCCTGCTCGCTTGTGCACTTTGTCGTTGCGATGCAGAATGCGGGTCAGGACGACACAGATCCAACCATGATAGTCAAGCAGTCGGGGCCATGTCATTGCATGATGAACAACAGCAAGGGGCGAAGGGCTGATATCGCCCAGGCTCCACATTCTCTTCAGTGAGAGGAACCATTTGAAGAAGAACACAAGGCAACTCATGACTCATGACGTTTTCAGCGTTCTGTGCACAAACTGACTTACACATTACTGACGGCTTGTTCACAAGTTGGCTTCTGAGCCAAATTGAACCGGCGAAAGCGCAGTGCTTTGTAAGGTACATGGCCGTTACCAACATGAACGTCCTCGGGGAGCCTTTGCTTGTGAACAAGCGATCTCACATGGCTGCATACAGGCGCATTGCCTGCAGGAGTTGAGATTTGATTTTCCAGCAGACGGAGCGGTCTGGGTTTGGTCCATGGATGATGTCGGGACCTTGGGGCGGCTTGCAATCAAATTTAGCATGCCGAAGCTCTTAGAAGCAGTCCGAAAAAGGCTTTCAACAACCCATTTGGCGTGATCGAGAAGGGTGCCGTGTTGCTTGCTCGTTTTCTCAGGGCATATGAAATCGCGGATGTTTCAAACTGTGTTTGGAATCGTGTTTGCCAGCGCATGTTTTCGTTGAGCAGTCAACGGCCAGGCCTATCCCGCTCCGGAGACACGGGTGCCACCCAGAGACACGCTGGGTGCATGCAACTCAGATTGCCGAGACTTATGCGGACATCTTCCAGATTCCATGTTTTCCCTTTTTCCGAGGATCCGCAATTCAGCCAGGTAGGCGATCCTCGCCATCGCCTTGGGCATTCAACTTCGCAGTTCAAGTATGCGCCATCAGCACTGACAGTTGCAGCTGCTTCTGAATCTAAGGCTTTCATGATGAAGGTGCAATTCCGCGTGGATTGCGAATTCTTGGAACAAACGGTGCCCTCATCGAGGACATGTGCACGCACACTGCAAGCCCTTCCTATTCCGGTACGGCCCCGTGGCTTTGGTGGCACGGCCAGGAGATGCTGACCTTCTGCATACCGCATGATGAGCAGTGAACTAAGCAGTGAACCTCTGACTTTTGAAACGGACATTCGCTGGAGTCTAAGGAAAAACCCCAGCGTGTCACCCTCGATTGACAATCAGTGCAAAGTCTGCTTCAGTGAAGAGGACGTTTGAAGGGAACAAGAGCAATTGGCAAGCAGGAGCTCCAAAAACTAGGCCCAGCTTCGATGCAGGAGTGTGGAAATGGAGGCAATGGTGTCCCGCCTGATCCATCGCTGAGTCGGCACCTTGGCCACGGGCCAACCGGCCCGCCAAAGCACGACAGAGGATACTCCTAGTCCTAGCGAAAGGTTCAGGGACTCAGCTCGCATCTCCCAGGCTTTTGCCGATCGCCCATTGATCTCAAATGCTCTCAAGCAAACGGCAACTTGCTCAACGTCCGGGCCCTGCGGAGAACGTGAGTCGGACTGTGAAAGGTCTTTAGCATGCTTTTCAAGGGGACAGGTTACTTTCGATAGTTTCTTGACCTCGCATTCAGAGTCAGGTGGCAGCTCATGAAGTTTGCAGCTAGCATTTATCCCCGTGCTGTCTCCGCATTTGGTTTGTCGGGTTTAAGTTCGAGGTGCTCTAGCCTTTTCGAAAGCCGGGAAGCGAAGTCTGGTCATGGACAGGTGCCAGCCTTTGCTTTCGAGCTGACGGCCAAGCTTGGTTACCCGATCACTCCGTGCCCTTGCATGATTACGGCCAGTGGCGGAAGCTACCATATCTGCAACTTTCAGCTCGCATGTGAACGTGGGCACCAGCACAATAACGGCTTGCATCTCCAGGTCAAGGCAGTTCAGCAAGATGTCGTTGAGGCGATTGAAGGAAAGCTGGTCAGGATAGTTGGGCAGAAGCCAGCCCTGCAGATCCGAAGCCCGATTTCCGAACCCCAAATTGTGAAACTAGAAGGATGGGAGGCAACCTACGGGGCAAACTCTATGCACTCCAAAGATTGGCCTGAGCGTCGCCGGACCAAAACGCCTTCAGTGGCTTGCCAGGGTGAGCTTCCCGGGCTTGTTCGTTCGGGTGTGACACGGAACCCCTTCAGGCAGCAACAAACTCATACGGGAATATGCCTTCGACAGTGCGCCAGCTGCTCCCACTCTCTCCCTTTTTCGGTCTTGATATCTGTCTGACGGTGGAGTACGTTGCTCACGGACACAGCAGCCTACTCACGAAAATCGCAGCGTTCAAAGGCGGGTAGAAAGGAGGGCAGTCGCGCCACCGGCACTAAAATTAGAAGCCCGGAGCTCTCCGCTGCAGCTCGCTGCTTGCAACTCTCGTACCCTTTATCATGGTGAGCCGATGCTTTCTTTCCTGCCTCTTCTCAGCTTTGGCCCCCGTTCGCCAGGCCGATAGTGACCCCACCTCACAAAAACTCACGGCAGCAGCCCTCTGACCTCAGGCAAGGTGACCTAAAGTGAGCTACGGGATTCACACGCTGTGGGCAAAGGTGTGCGGGTCATGGCGTCAGCAGCCGACGAATGTTCGGGGGACATGCCTTAGAGCCATTAAAACCGCCGCCGGCATCCCTCACCCTGCCCCGAAACCAAAGCACCGGAGCAGGATCCCAAACCCAAGGCCGAAGCACCAGGCAAAGACCTGAGTCGTCTCAGACCCTAAACCGAAACCAATGGCAGGCAGTCCATACTCCGTCTCTGGCTCCATCCGCTTACTCAGTGGAACATTGGTCCATCATGCCAGGCCTTGAACTCTTTTCCTTGCTGTTAGCAGCTCCGACACACTTTCACAGCCTTGCAAGGTGGGCTTCTTTGCAGGAGGCTGTACGCCACCAGTTCCCGGAGGAACTTGTGGCGTGCTCGGATCCTGCAGCCGGCATCGTAAACCCTCATTACTCAGTGCAGCTGCCTTTGCCTTTGCTGTGCTTCTTGAGGCTCCAGTCCGATTTGCCAGCCGGAGTCCGTGGTTGGTGGCCGAGAGCTCACAGAGCTCACGACGACAAGCCGCGCAGCCGCTCTGCTGCCTTTTATTCCTCGTTGCTTTGAGGTACGGTCGTGGGCATCGCGTCGTGGCCCATCAACACCTTGAGGCCGCTGGGACCAAAGGGCGGTAAGGGGCGTCCTAGGGAGGGAGGGGCGGGGACCAATGTTTTCCGGCAAAGGATCATTCTCCCCAACATCATGGCTGAAATCACGGACACCATCACCATGGCAATGGAGGCTTGTGCCTTGTGGGATTCACTTTGCAATTTTCAGACTGGCCGGAGAACATGCCAGATTGGAAACTTGCCACTACCTGCTGGCGGCTTCTTTCCGTCAGTGGTCACGGCTGAGCTCCAGCCTTACTTCGCAGTGGCTTGACCAAGCTTTGCTGTAGACTGCTACGATTGTCAAGGATCACAAAAGATGATGGTTTTGCCCCTGACTACTGGGATATCCCAAAGGCTTGTTGCTGCGCTGCCACACGTGTTGCCGTTACTCGACTCCTGGGAAGGCACTTGCAGTTGCTACGGTCCAGGGTGGAAGCGGCCAAGCTGACATACTTGGAACACTGTAACTACATCATTGGCTCTTTGCAAAGGTGCACGCCTCTACAAGAAGCCACAGATTCTGGCAGCGTCGCTTGTGTCGAAGGTTCACATCTCGTGTCGGCAAAGGTTGAATGGTAATGGCCTTGAAGATACGGTTGTCTCATTGCAAAGGTTGGCGACGGAAATCAAGCCCCCTTCAAAGCTGATAGTGCCAACAGGTTCGACGCTCTGATGACATTAGGGGTTTAGTCTCGCTCCATGTGCACGCGTGTGGCAGGATTTACGCCCGCCTAGTGTTCGGAACGACGTTTTATGGATTTGGCAACTTGGTGACGAGCCTAGCTGCCAGGATTGTAGTCAAGTCAGAGGCAAAAAGTGCGTTGCAGATGGTCTGCGATATGCAGGTGGAGATTAACTTCAAGCTTCCAGTCGGTCTGGGACTTATGATATAATATGCCCGCGTAGTTCAGTGACCGGTGCGACATGCGATCAAGGTTACGCTTGCTCAACGACGCAGCAGGGTGGCAGTGCTCGACACTGAGAACCACGCAATTCAAAGCTTGAAGACGACTTGAAGCGACCAGGCAAATCGATACGTCAGTAGAATTCTGCTGGCGCAGAGTCCAGGTTCCCGATTTGGAACTTCTGGCCAACATGTTCCCATCCACAAAAGGTCGATTGGCTCGCCGCTTAGTGCCAGCAAGAAAGCGTGCACCTGTTGCTTCCACTTGTTCGGTCCTGCATCTCAGGGCGGCAAACTCACCGAAGTCCGATATCGGAACATACCAGCTCGGACCTTACCTGGCAGGTGCTGGCACCGTCTGGAGCAGGTTTACTCGGCGATTTGTCAGTGAATATTGACCTTCTCGGGAACATTGCTGAGTGTGCAGTTTCGGTATTGTTTTGACCAGCCATAACACTTCACTTCAGATAAGCCGTGCGGTGACTTCATGTTACAAGCAAGAGTTCAAGCTTCCAGGCGACACCCGACGTTATGTGCCAGCTCACTCTCTTGGCTGTTCCGCTCTTACACGGCCTTCGGACAGAGAAGGGTATGGCATCTGTGCTGCTACAAGGACATGATCGTCTATGCCAGAACTGCTTCGGCCCCAAGCCTCTGCAGTTGGCTCTCGATCATTTTCCACCCTGTGCAGGTGTACTTCATCGAGTTGGTTGTTGACAATCCGACTGCAGCACTCAAGAGAGATGCGACTTTTCTCAACCAGCATTGCGCCATCGACAGCCTCTCCACCATGCCCGGTTCGTCCATGTGTTACCTGTTCATTGTTTCTTGTTTCTGGGTTCTTGAAAAAGGCAACAGGACAATAAGAACAGCAAGGGCAGGAGGTTACGCTCAGGACCCAACCAACACATGGTCTGTGGGAGTGGTCCACGGTGGCTTCAATCCCGCCGAAATCATTGAGGACTCCGTAGTTTTGGAGGCAGGGCGCAGCAGTTGCGGCCGATTTGCTAGGACAAAGCTCTCTCAGCGCAGCAGCTGTCGTTCTGCCCCGCCCCCCGCCAAACGCTGTTCTGCTTGCAGCATCCTCAGATGGCCCATCTCAGAAGATCTCGGCTGCATGCTCTCACTTGCTCGTGCTCGCAATGGAGGGAAGATCTGGGAAACGACTACGCTGGTTCGCTCTCCGTGCTTGGAAAGCTGTCAGACTTCTTCATTGCGTCATGCACCTAGCCAGGGCAGCCAGGGTAGAGGGCTTCCGGCCTCTTGAATGCTTGAATGTGTCGCAAGGCCGTCTCAGTACGGTGTGGGGCAGCTGAACGCCTTGTCAGTCTTCTTCATGACCGAGCAAGAGGCGGTTGCACTGCTGCGGCAAGCAATGTCAGAACCCCAAAACGCGAGGTTGGCTCCTTGACCAGCGTGGAGACGGAGATTTGGGCAACCCGGCCAAAGTCACATTTTTCGGCAAGAGCAATGGCCGAATCCCAGCTCTGCACAGTTCCACCATGCAGCTAGACATTGGTGTGTTGCCTTCCCAAAACCCTGCAAAAGGATTAACACTACTTCTGTCGGTGTCCGCGCCATAAGGTTGATGCGCCATCTGGTTTTGATTTCGGCATGCCTCGAAGCCGCAGTTATGGATTGGCAGTTAGCCGTTGATGCTGAACCTAGGTGGATGGGTTGCGCAAGTCGCTAGTAGACCCCAATACTAGCCCTGATGGGCCGCCGCCAGCATGGCCAGTGTCGACAGAGGTATTGTTCAGCCGCACCTCTCGACTCGATTTACTACATTCCGGAAGGTCGTGGCACTGTCCCGTGCTCAGCTATGCCTGCAACGGAGCCAAGAGAATTGCCGAGAGATTGGTTGACCAGTCGCCACTGCCGACGGGAGACCTCATCCCGTGTGTTGGTGCACCAACTTCGTTGGGGCCTAAGGGCAGCACGTATCATCACATCATGCATCAATCTATTGTACCCCGGTCGCATGTTCTGCAGTCTTGTGCGACTTTGCAGGGAATCCGAGCTGACCTACAATCGGGCCAAGCTCTCAACAACAGGCCGTTTGTTGAGGCTGGGCAGAGCCATAGCATCGCGTTTCCTGCTGTGTGACGGATTTCGCTTGTTGGCAGGCAAACCTTCTATGGCTTTCAAGTCCAAGTGCAAAACGCCGCGATCTACGTCCGAACCCAGCTCGATGAATGGCCGGCTGCTTAAACCCCCCTTCGGCATTGTAGTGTCTGAGCATGTTTGAACATGACCTGGCATTGCAATCAGGCGTCTCTGGACATATGTCAAAGCAACCGGCTATGGAGTTGATGGTACCTACGAAACGGCTCGAGTCAATGAGCGTGTGCTCTGCTCGGCTTGGACTCTTTCTCGCATGCTCATGGGGCTATCCATGCAAGCGTAACTTCAAAGGTGCCAGCGGGGCCAGACACGAGCTGGGGTATGTACCTGCAGAGCATGCCGGCTGAGCTGCAAGCTGAGAGCTCCAGTGACTCTACGAAGTGATCACGGCCTCTGCGGCCAGCAGAAGTTGCAGTCTCGCACTCCTTACTAGTTTCACACCGAGGAACTTCCAGGTGGCCTTCTCTACATCGCGACCAACCGTGTCAGGGGATCCGCCCTCGGGCCAGACCTATCCTATCATCATACAGCACCAGATGTGACTGGAAGGTTCCTCCAGCAGACATCACCGTCCTTCCCATCATTGCGTCGTTTCCCACGACCCGGGCTGCTGGGCTGAATTGCAGACATCACTTCTCCTGCACATGGCAGCAATGTGTCAGAATGCCCAGGCCATCCGAGTCACGGCACCTGCCGGCTACGAGTGGGACTTCGATCAAGTAGACTTTCGGCAAGGGCCTTCCTAGATGTGCTTGCAGAACAGCGCAAGGGTTGCTTTCTTTCATTGGTGGCAAGGTATCAGGCGCCGGGTGTCGGAGTAAATCCTCTCAATGTGGTCGACGGAGCAGAGGCTCCTGGGAGCTCTGTAGTCGAGACTTCGAAGATACGAAATACCGGAAGGCTGATATTCCAATCAGCGGCAAGCCTGCGCGTCCGAACTCAGAGCCGAAAAACGCACGCACCTTGGTCTGCTGGGTGTTCCGTAACAGTTCTAGCCGAGCCATGTCTGTCTGGAGTTGCTGCGGTTTGGTACAATAACACTCTTGTGCAGGTTCTTACGATGGCCGATCTGCCACTTTTGGCCGAATCTGAATCGCAGTTTGCCACAGGAAACAGAGCGTCTCACGCCAGGACTACATGCAGCTGCCATGGACGCCCTGAGCTGAAGCCATGCCGAACCGCAGAATATGCGAGAGACTAGCCATGTGTGCTTACGTCAGGGTGCATGCTTGCATGAAGACATCTTGCAAGTATGCGCATGTTCGACTGTCTGTCTGTCTGTCTGGCTCGCTGGCTGTCCCAGGCCTGGCGTTATCTATGGCTTCGCTTGCAAGATCAGGATTCCCATGGCCGGGAAGTCAGAAAAAAGTAATCTTGCTTCCGACCGGGGTGCAGGGCTGCGCTCGAGGTGCCCCCAACTGGCTCGGCCAATCAGTTCACCATCGAGTTCGGATACAATGAGGTCGGTGCGTTGTGCTTCCATTTTTGTTCCGCTAGGAAAAGACGTGTCGCAGGACCTGTTGACCAATCGGTTGGAAGCGGGCACAGCTGCTGCCCCTGTCGTCCAGCGCTTGATCAATGGTGCTGGGGTCTTACGCCTGTTGCAGCCTGTTTGACAGTGTACATCGAATCGCAACGAAGGGGACTTGATATTCAGGCCATCACCTATACAACCAGCATTATGAATCTGCCGGTGGACATTACCTTTACCTTGCGCACCGTCACGTGGCATGCTCAGCTGTTTAGACAAGCGGATTTGGAAAGGTAACATAAACATGAAACGAAACCTCATCACCCGAAGTGTCCGAAATCTTTGCCTTGCAGGAACATACCGGAAGGTGGTGGGCTGGTGATCATCGGGTCCAGTACTCAGGGTAACTGCGATCTTTGCAAGCCCTTCATCGGAACACCAGTTTCACCAGGCCTCCAAACTTTGTGTTCCAGCAGTTCTGCCAGCCGAAACCTGCCAGCAGCTCGCCGGAGCGGGCTTGAAACTTGCACGACATGTTGCCTATGTGTACACATGCATCGCAAGTTCAATTGCTTCCGTCGCAGGAACTGCCGTACGATTCCACTTGTCTTTATGCTCAAATCACTGCCACCGGGCAGCCGAGGGCGACCTGGATACATTCAGAGACACGGGCCTCCTCCTTTCCTCTGCAATTGACGAGCCACATGTAGAACAGCAAAGAAGCCAAGATCTCCATCATCGCCGGCCCAGAAGGGATCCCTGGCATGACCTACAAGCTGCCTGGCTATTTTCTGCGAGTAACGCATGTGTCTGTCTGTGTGTGTGTGTGTGTTCTGTTCTGCCGCAGTGCTACTCGTGAGGTTTGCTCTCGCGGCAACCAACCCACCACAGGTCGGATGGTCTTGTTCGGTCTTTCATGCTGTTCCTCGTGGTGCCTCGTGCCTGAAGGCAGTGCCGCTAGATCAAGCTGGCATCTGGACACTGCTTTCATATAGCCTGGCAAGAACCCTGGTTTTTCCCCAGAGACAAGTGAAACATTGCGAGCATGAAAGTGGTCTCAGATCAGCGAAGAGATTGTCCTGGACCAGAACACGACGATTCCGGGCTATGCAGTGGCACGTCCGATGGTCGTGCTCTAAAGAAGCATGCTCAAATAGTTGCCGGTTGCTTGCCACGTTCTACATTCTGAGGTGTCTGCTGGACTAGTCATGCATCCACGAGTTGATTGTACTTTCACAACGTTGGAGGAGTGGGCGGCGGAACTCGGCTGCAACTGCTGCGAGCCGAGTATAATCCCTGACAGGAGAGAGCCATCGATGCAACGCTGCCAGAGACGTTCTGTGATTTCGAGCATTGGCAGTTCTACCCCCCTAGGCCGGAGCGGTAAATGCTGGTGCCCGGACACGTCACTGCAAGACTGGACTTGATGCAAGGGGCTACCGTGATGATCGACCGAATCGTGAGATTCCTGGATTTGTAGTCGGCTTCTATTCGGTGCTGTGGCTTTGCAAGCAGCTCTGTAGCCTCTTCTGCCCTCAGGACCTACACAACTAATCTTCAAAATGCAGCGATGAGCTCAAGCGCTTGCGAAAGCAACATGCAATGATTCGTTTTAGGTAGTGTCAGAAGCTGATGAACCCATGCCTTGGCATCTGACAGAAGCTGAGGCTCGGAACGCAGGTGGACGTCACCAGTGTGATGACAGTGCGGGTGCGCTGCAACCAAGCTAGCCACTGTAACCAGTTCGCACGACTTGTCGAGTGCAAATGTCTCCTTCTGGCTGCAGGCGCCGGAGGGCTATGTCTTTGACGCTGAATGCCGTGAGCTGCTCAGGAGTTGCCGACTCTGCAAGCCGATGTGAGCATTTGCGGCCCTGCCGAGGTGTTGTCACCAAGCCTTCCTCGCGGATATTCAACGACTCTGCAGTGGCTCGGTTGATTGCATGAAGCTGGCAGACTCGTTGCTTGCAGAGCTGCTACGTGCAGCGAAATCGAAGGCAGGCTAACGTAAAGAGGTACCATGTTTCTGCTTTCAAGCCACCCTCTCGACTCGAGTATAGGTGGATGGGCACGGTGAGTTTGTCTTGTTTTGGCGGGGTCGCGCCTTTCGATAAATCACGAGTTTCACCCGAAACCATCAGCAATGAAGTATTGTTACATGCGTGACATTGAAAGATTTGAAAGTGGTCTGGGCGGTTGTAGACGACAAGCTCTCAGTGAGCTTTCCATCAAGCCTGGAAAGGGAGTCGCTTCTGCGATCATCTGCATATCGCTCTGCGCAGAAGCTTCGCCTCGAGACAATCGCAACGGCATCAAACATTCACACGTGCTGATCTGTTGAAAGGCTGAACGGCTGTGTCCAGACCGTGCCAAGCTGGCGCTTGCTGGCTCTTCTGCTACCCCTCTTCTCGTTCGGCCAGTAGAAATTGTTGAGACTCTCCCTGGTTTGTTGGAAGTGCATGCGGCATAGTGTGTGTTCGTAATCGGCGGCGCTTGCATCTGAGGTGGACGGAGTCTTGCCTTCTGTGCTGCGATCCAAGACTTGCTTGATAAACGAGAATGCACCTGCTTCAAAACTGTGCCCAGGCCGGCCAATGTTCCGCTTGATCCGGGGCTTCCTTACACGGCCGGGCTCTTTGAAAGGTTGAGCCTGCGAATCTGCTTTTGAACGGAGGCCCCGGATTCTGGTCTGATTCGTTCTGCTGCTGATGTGAGAAGCTGGTTTAGCGACACAGCGCTTCGTACCTGAGTTGTTTTGACCAGGTCCGAGGATATGCTCAGCGATACAAGCGACAGACTGAGCAGAAAGATCACTTTCCCTGTTCGCAGTCTGGCCGCTTCAACTGCCACAGCGTGTAGAATTGCAGACATGTGCGCCTCAGTACCTGGCCGGATGCTGTCGACACCCAAAGCTGCCTCGGCCGGGAGAACGAGGCGCGGCAATCCAAGCAAGATGAAACCGATCCAAACCATAAGGAACACGTGCATAAAGAGTCACGTGTCTCTCAGCTCCGCGTCTGCCAAAAGGCTCGGATCACATGGACAGCAGGCCCAGAGCCCGGAAAAGTGGTGACTCGGGGCCCGGTCAGTTTAGCTAATCTGGAAGAGGTCTCGCACTCTTCAACACATATCTGTCCATGGCCCAGAAAATGGGTTTCGGTTCTGTCAGATTAAACTGGTGGCCTTCGACACTTGGTGCAAGGTTTCGACTTTCAGTGCTTCGCAGTCCGCCAGTGACCCCCGTCCGGGCCCTTTGGCATGAAGTCTCCTTGCACTCGGGACACCAGATGGCTGCAGGAGTACAACTATTTCTTGTTGGAGTACAATGGTGAGGCTTGGCAGCTGAGGTTGCTTCCTGAAAGCTTGACAACCTTGAGTTGTTGCGAGGCTTCGGACCCCTTCCCCGGCATAGATATTTGGGTCCGGCACCTGGGACTGGCAGCAGCATGTTGACAGACATGACAAACTCCTTCTGAGGCCTTTATGAACACGACCATCATTCCTACCACCACAGCTGCATCTCGTTCAGACTACCAGACGCCGAACGAGGCATCGTTCTGCTGTGACCATCAATAGATTGCCGACTGAGAAGCCAAAGCAACATCGCTGTAGCTGGGACAGCAATGCAGACGATCCACAGTAATCCACAGTGCATGCGGCCACTCGTGATGTTGTGTAATAGCTTGCTTGAAGCAATTCGCAGATCTGGTGCTGACATTTCTATGCCACTCCCGAAATGTCAGCAACTGTACGCTCGAGTTTTTCCCCAGTGAGTTCGCCTTGAAGGTGACAATACAGCTTCGCCCGGTCAACGCGGTTCCAAATGGGGGCCATCTGAGGCGCCAGTCCCCTCACCGCGTACAGTGGTTCCGCGCTGCAACAGTGCTTATCCGATCTTGTACCTGTGACAATCACATGATCTCCCTGTCAGGGTGACCGCGCCCAGTGGCTTCCTGGTGCCGACGGTTTGCGTCATGTCATTGAAGCCTGGCCGGTCACCAGAAGCCTTTGGCTGGATGGGTGAAGATGGCTTCAATGGTTTCAACACGTGCATATGTCCTGCTCTGTTTACATCTCTTCAGCCGAGGAGGGTGCATGAGTCGGAAATGCGCCTCGGTGCATATTCAGTGAGGTTTCAAGAGATGAACGTTGGGAGCAGGGATGCTGTCATCTGCTGCAGCTAGAAAAGAAGTAGGCATTGTGTGCTGTGGTGCCTATCAGGCCCAACATCTCAGCGTTTGCTCCGGGCCCTGAGCGCGCAGGGTTCCAAGCAGTGAACATTGACGTGTTCTGGTTTGCCCACAGTCCTGACCTGGCAAGGCTCAGCTGCTACAATGGGCAGAGTTTCTGCTGCTTGGCCATGAATGCGTGTAAGAACAATCTGTGTGCTGCTCCACGATACTCTGAAAACCAGTCGGTTTTTTTCTGCAAGTTACGAAGCAGTCCAAGGCCTAGTCACTTGGTGTGTCAGGGCGACCAGACCCCGTCTAGCCGTGGCAGGTGCAAAAACATGCAGGGCTTTGTTAGCTGTTAACAGTGGTGCTCACAAGTGTGAGTCTAAGTCATCTGCGCCGTGCTCTTCGCAGGCTACTGCTGACGCAGGACATGAAGTACCTGAGAAAGGGTGTACTGTACGTCTTGACGCTGGAGGCGCGCTTTGGCGGTTTTGCTTACTGCCGGATCAACTTGGGCGGCACACGAAGGTGTCAAATCCGCAGACGACGTCAGCGACGCCGGAAGACTGGCATGTGCAATCATATGAAGACTTGCGGTCACCTCAGCGTAGAGGGGTGTGGTGTGTTGGTGTTGGTGTTGGTGTTGGTGTTGGTGTTGGTGTTGGTGTTGGTGTTGGTGTTGGTGTGTGTGTGTGTGTGTGCAAGGACCGTCAACAACATCATTGACGAGAGTTATATCCCCGGGTTTATCATCAACACGGCCGTGCAGGAGCCGTTGGCTGGAGTCTGCGATGGGAGCTTGAGTCATGGTCGTGTGCAACCCACTTTGCACACTTTGAAGAGCTTGCCAGTCTTTTGCGTACCTGGCCCCGGAGTCCACCAACGCGTTGATCAAGCACAGGCTGGCAGTGGCTCACAAGAGTCATATACCCGAACGGCCGCCCACGGCATGCTCGCCCGTGTTGACCGAACCTGTCTCGGCCACATCTAGTTAGAGGGCTGGGTCATTTTACGGATAGCTCTGCGAAGCGAGCCTTTGGGAGTCAGCTGTTAGCTGAAAGGGTTGTTCGGCTCGCTCGATGCTAGAGTATGCGAGAGTGGAGATGCTGCTGGAACCGCACTGCTCGTGACTGTGAGGCTGGACTTCAACATGTCGTTTCCAGACATTGTTGCCGCTATCTCAGGGCCTTCGGGCATTCATGCGGCATGTGTGTGGCTTGTTGGGTGGCATTCAAAGTCCATGTCCAGGCCATCGGGGACCGCCTTCAAATTGTGGCCCCTGTGTCCTACATGTTCAGCGAACCTGGTGATCGCGGGAAGCCTGTTGTCCATACGAGCATGGTCTCCTCACCACGAACGGCTGGCTCGCGTGACACGCGCCCACACATGTCTGCCTGCTTTAGGCCGTTGCCCCCAGTACGTCTTCCTGGATGGTGCAATGACGAAGACAGTACCAAGCTGCAGTGCCACAGCCAAGTCGATGATTTATCTCGGTGGTGCAGTACCATCATGCCAGTACCATCATGCCAGATATTCTTCATCCGTTCCTGCTCTGCTGTGCCACAGGTGCAAACACCATAAACTGGCATCTCATGGATGAGCCTTCCTCCCAGTGAAAGCTGCAGGTGGGGCAAATGCTTGTGTAGGAAGCTTCAAGGGCAAGGCCGTCTCGGCTCAAAGCGTGAAGAGATTCACGTTGCCTCGTTGCCTCCTCACCCTCTGCGCCAAGACTACGTTCATGCGACCCACATCGGGTTGCAGATACCCCACATGGCAAGTGCAAAGCCCAGACACATTGGTGTCGTTTCGCTATGCTCTCGCAGGGTGCGGGTTGCGGCCGGAGTGTCCAGGTCAATCACGCTTTTGAGCGCGTCTCAGACGGCATTCACCTCGGTCCGTCAAGGGGGACATCTGGAGGACGGAGGCCTTGTGAAAGCAGCTAAAGCGCGTGGCTGTTTCCGAAAGCTTTCCAAACGCTCGTGTTCGACTCGTGTTCTATTGGTTTGGTTCACCCACGGACTCTGGGACTCACATGCCATGTTGGGATGAGCGAGGGTTGTGGGTGGGATCTACAGTCTTGTGAACTCCTCGGCGCGTTCCTCGCTCGCTTGCTAAACTACACTTTTGTAAACAGCTCAGTATGTATGCATGGTATTGGGCGCAGTCGGGTTCAGTGGCGCTTGACATGTAGAGGGCCCCGCCAGCCACTAATTCAGCATGTGCTGCTACGACCCTCCATGGCGGCATGGCAAGATTATCTCACTGTTACTTGGGAAAGCGTTCGGAGCAGTGTAGCTCCACGAGAAATCGTGAGATCCTGTTCGTCCACTGCGAGATGCCGCAAGACATGCAGCATGTGGCCTTTGCTCGGTAGCATGAGGAGAACGAATTAGGGTTGGCATGGCAACATTCCTATTGCTGAATACTGTTCCTAGTCTGTCATCTAGGCCACGTATTGCTCGACACCGATCAAAAACAACCGTCAATGCTAACGCTAAGGTTTCCGGCTCGTCATCACGGCATGCTCTCTCACTTACTCAGTGTTCGTCGTTGTTGCACGGACGTAAGCCCAGAAAGGCAATCGGCTGGCAAGTCCTGTCTTGCGGGTTGCGGGGCCGTCCTGAACCCACGAGTCACGCATGACCGTTTTGTCGACATGTGCCGGCTGGACGAATGCCATTGGCAGGCGCTTGCTGTGACACGGTCCCAATCCCACATCCCAAGCTCTGCTGTGTCGGCCAGCAGAGCATCGAGATCCTAGGTTTTAAGTATATCTCTTCTGAGCCAAATGTCGTAAAGAGTCATTCTCTGCGAGCTTTGGAACGCCAGGAAGAACCAACCGAAAGACTGGTGGATACTTCCTCAGCTCAATCTCGTGCTTGCTATTTCGATCTCAGAGTCGGTGCCGAGTTGCTTGACTCTCAAGTCGTTCCGTGTTCTTCCCACATTGACAGAATGCTGTTCTTTGTGGGTGCCTCTTTGATGAGGCTCCCTGCCGCAGTGGCTCACCGAGCTCGGACACAAAAACCACATGGCTCAGATCTCTGAGCCACTTGGACTTTTTGCAGGGAGCGATGTCGGCAGCACGAAGTGTGTCGCCTGTTGCGGGCTGCACGGTGGCAAAGCAGGAAGCAAGCTCAATGCAAACTTCTTCCTGGTGGGAATGCTGGTCGCGGTGATCTTGGCACGACTGGCACCAAGTCTGGCAAAGAGCCATGGCCTTCTGCACGTGGATACTTTCAGAGCCTCAGCAGCAAGATTCACCACGGCCAAGATGGAAGTGTGGGCAGAGCGTGGTCATTATGTGCCACTATTTGTGGAAGTAGCCCTTGGTTGGTGCATCGACGCATGGGTGGATTTGGGTTTCGACGTCTATGGCCGCAGTCCCGAAGTCCGATCTCGGGGATGGTGCATGGGCTGCTCTGAGGTGACTATGCCGTTGCTGTCATTTTCCTCTTGTCCGGCTTCAGCTTGAAATTAAGTGAGATGCAGAAAGCAGCTCTGGACTTCCGCTTGAACCTGCTTACGCAAACGTTTCTTGGCCTTTGACAGAGCAGGAGTTTCGCTTTCTATGCCAAGAATCGCTGAGGTTGTCCATGGGACTGATGCTTGGCTGTTGCAGGCATGCCGATCTGTCGTTTGCATGCAGTGTCTCGACGATTTGAGACAGCTGCCATCCTAGGATTCCGCTGCTGGCCTATCCCTTGGTGCAACTTGCTCACCGCGGTGCTTGGCTTCATGGACAACTGCTCGATGGCCTGATGATTACGGTACCACGGCTGAAACTGCGAGTGATAGACATCAGATTTTGTGTCCTTTCGTCTTCAAGTGGGTCTGTGTGCGAGAGGAACGCACGATGACACGCGCGATTGCACACACCCTCCTGCGAACAGCGCATAAGATCCAGAGGAGAGCCCCAAGCCGCTCACTAAATGGCTGGTGATCGAGCGTCATGGCCGAGCGCAACAGAAAGACAAGGAGAACGAAAGAGACAAACAGGAAACACTGGTGCCTAGCCGAGGCTTGCTTGCCGACGACTGTGAACATGCATGCTGGCTGCAAGGTAACGCAGTATCATAGGCTTTCGCAGGCATAGGATGTCATGTCGGTGAATGGGCTTGCAGCTCATCAAAAGATGCCCGCCGTACAGGTGTGTTCTCCTGGCCAAGTCGGCAGGACCCTGGACCTGTGGGCTGACTGAGAGCCATTTTTTTTGTTTGCATGTGCGAGGAGCCAACACTGCGGTTGCTTTGACCAATGCCATCCTTGGAAACTTGCTAGGCTCGGCTCACTGGCCTTCTCCTAGCTGCCTAGCTTTGTGCACGAGAGATCAAGGAGTTTGCGTAACTCCTGCACTGCTGCTCATCACACTCGGCGCCAGAGAGCCTCGGAGCAAAATTGCGTGGCAGCTTCCGGAGGAGCCGCTTAAGGCTTTCGCTTGAGCCTTGTCGGACCCTCCAAGACCAGTATCCAGCTGGGGCCGGCTGTGCAGAAGCTTGGCATCAAGGCCTCCATCTGGTAGAATACCGTCCGAGCTTAGAAGCTAAACGTCACTCTTTGATGGAGGTGGTCGTGCCGGTAGTGATTGGCCAGCTTCTTCGAAACTCCGGTGCTTTGCAGCGATTTCACACCAAGAACAGTGCCGCCTTCAAGAAGCTTTCGGAAACCCAGCTGCGAAACAGACTTGATGACAGCTTCTCGAGAGTGCCATGATCCGGGGCAGTCACCCGCCCCTTCCGAGAGCAGAGCAGACTGCAGCCAAGGAGTCTCTGTTGCTTCTGATCGTCTGGAACGCCTTCAGCAATGCCTTCGCAGCTGGCCTTGGGACCTTTGCTTGCATGGGTTCTTGCACGGGCACGGCTGCCTTGCTGCTGGGCTCGCCCCAGTGGGCTGTGTGGACTGTCAGGGTGGGTCCCAAAGAGCTGGCGGTCCTCGGAGTCCTGATGCCCGCGTTGCACTTCGGTGCACTGACGGGCTTCATCAAGACCCTGGGCAATTCAGCATTTTCCCGACCTCCAGAAGCATGTTCCCAGACTGGTCCGTGGAATGTTCTGCAGCTGTGATGCGCGTTTGGCAAGGATCTTGACATGGATCGGGATAAGTCCGGCGGATGCAGTCGCAGCGTCTTTTGCAGCCACTTGAGCATATCTGATGAGCTTGTTTTGCAACGAGGGCTTGATTTCGGCGTGGGGGCTGTTGGCTGACACCCGCGTGCACGTCAGGCAAGTCAGAAGACACTCGCCTTCGGATTGCCTTTGATCAAGACAATATTCGAAGGAAGTTCGGGTCCCAGAGTGAGGGTGTATGATGGCTGCGAACTGTCGGCTGCGTGCCCCTTCCCATCAGATGCGAACCTTGCATATTTCTGTGCGCCAATAATGCTGCTACATCCGATGCAGCTGACCCTGGTCTGCACTGTAATAGCATTTTGAATTGTCTGTGTCCGTACAAGCAGAAACCGACCGCTTCTGGTGTCCTAGAGAATTCCAGACTGACGGCATGGAAGTGGGTTTGATTGACAGAGGTCGGCTAAATTGAACATTTTCAACTAGCTTTGGTGTTCATAGTTAGCGCACATGCTCTGCAGATCCATTTTGGGAAAAGCTGAGGATGATAGGTGCTGCCATGCTGCCTCGCTTGAAGCAGTACTTGGGCGAGCAGCCTATGGCAGGTCAGGCTTGAGCAAACGCCGCGCAGAAAACAGGTGAAGAATTGCAAGCGGCATGCGACTGCAGAAAACGAGGCTGTCCTCTGTCCTCGGAATTCACGAGTTTCAGGTCCATCCCAGCTCAGAGTCCGGTTCGCTTCATGGTCCAAGTCCAGTGGGCAAGTCATGTTTGAGTCGTGAGTTGTCGGCTCCCTTCTGTGAAGCACACGATGCCAGTGCCGGACGTGCCAGGAATCCACCACAGACGCCGGTCATCAACCTTTTCCAAGTGCGCCAGATGGATGCAAACGGGACTGTTAAGCCCGAGGCCCAGGAAGCCATATTGCCACAAGGAGGCCGATTGCTTCAACAGCCAAAGCCAAGGACTTCCCGAATGATATCGGGCTACGAGATCGTCCCAGAACTCGTCAATCCTATGGTACGTCAGGCATTTCCGAGGGTTGTTGCACTGCACACTGCTTCTATCCCGGAGTCCACAACTGGTTCAGGATCCTGCCATTTTCCCGTGCCGCATCGACGTGAACTTGGTAACCGGCTTGTCAGGGTCTCATCTGATTTCGGAGTTTTATCGGTTTGATTCCATTGGCACACACCGTCTCCGATTTGCTTATGCCCTTCTTGCAATGGGACCCCCGAGGCCATGTGAGGGCACTGGATCCTTTTCTGCGGTGGTCATCAGCTTCACCGCCTCCCGAAGTCGGCCCCCCCGAAACAGCCGTTTTGGGGCCTTTGTCTGTACATCTCTTAAGAGCAAAACTATAATGCAAAGGTGCAGAGCTGGTGTCCATGCAAGCCCATGTTGCTTCCTCAGTTACAGTAGCCTTGGTGTTGGTTCACACCAGTGCCACTTGCCGACAGGTCAACGGCGAGTCTTACGATTTCACCAATGCCGCCCGCTCAACCTGAGACCTGAACGAACAATTGCGTGGGCGTGGATGCCCAGGCTCGGTTCGGTGATGGAATCGACGGCCCCATCGTTGTGTATGGCAGAGACGAGAAGGTCGAGTGTCTCGAGTAGATCGCCCAGCTGAGTGCTGAGGGAACACCTAGCACGAGAATTCATGTTGCAGATTGTTGTCGTGGAGATGATGGTGCATAACGGCCGGGATCCCATAACACCAGCATGACATGTCAATTGCGTTGAGAGACGGCTGCTAGAAGTGTAGGAAATCCCAAGCACGGACCCACGCAGACGGAGAGGGGGCCTGCCCGATGTCCGGGTTCAAGCAAAGACTTAAAGAGGGCATTGCCGACAGAGAGACACAGAGAGTGGACAGTTTTCTCTCTGCTTTCTGAGGTGTTCAAGCAAGCATCACCGTTCACAACGTGCGGAATCCGATGACGAGATTTCCTCAGCCTGCCCACTGCAGCTGCATGGTTTGGTAAAATTTGGATAGGTCCTGATCTTCTGTCAGGCCCGGCATCTCCAAATGGAGTGCTCGCTCCTCAGTTTCCGATGTTGCAGGGCGAAACAGAGTGTTTGCGGTCCGGTGAGGTAGACAGTAGGTCGGTTTTCGATACGGTTAGTTCCAGAATTTCGATACTTTGTGAGATGCAGAAGAAGCAAAGGTCAGATCATCTGGACGTGTTTTTTTTGAGACGTGACAGGCGGCGTCAAAAGTCTGCCCAGGTGACAACATACGTCAAGGGACCAATTCCTGGAGTTCCGTGCCACCGGCGAGTTTGTCCAAGATGGCCGCAAAAGGAGCTTGCTGCACATGCAAGCTGACAGGACGACAACCACCGTAATGCCAGTCGTGGCGCTCGAGCCAAAGGTATTTGGAATCACACACTGCCGCATCTCCTGTTGTGGATTGCCCAAGGTGTTCTACAACAGGAGGGGTATGTGGCATGTTCCCACAAGCGGAAGCAAGACGAGATGAAAAGTTTCAGCCTCAGCTTGCAGTTTCTTTGAATCCACATGCAACCAGTGCACGTTTTGGCGTGCTGACTGCCACTCGAAGAGGTAGTCGTTAGGGACCGAGGTGCTGTGCAGTCGCTTCCGTGTTCTTTATCCGCATGCATGTGTATACAACAGTATACGGTTATTTATGCTATTTGCGTATGCGCATAGTCAAGTATGGAAACATACATGGACATATGCTCATGCGCACGCAGCGTCCGTCCGTCCGTCCCTCCCTCCCTCCCTCCCTCCCTCCATCCATCCATCCATCCATCCATCCATCCATCCATGCATCCTTGCATCCTTGCATCCATCCAGCTAGCCAGCCAGCCAGGCATCCATCCATCCATCCATGCAGGGCCTGAGCTACCTGTGGGGTGGTTGTTGGTTGGGGCAAGCAGGGACACTTGCCCTCTCCCCAGCTGAAGGGGCTTACGGCCTAGATACTATGTGGTGCTTGGTCTCGTCGCAGGCTGTGCGTGTTGTCAGTAGATTCGATTTCCCAACCACTCGCCATGGCTGCTGAGCAGCCAACAAACCAGGGCAGGGGGCAGTGTAGGCTGTTTTGATGGAGCCATTCGCGAGAGTCAGCGCGCCTTGGCGTCTTGGCAGTGTGTTCGACAGGGGTACGGTTGCAGCAACCTGTTTGTAGTATAATCCTTTGTGATTTTTGCTACACTAGAGGATGGCGGTGTTTCCCTTTTTCCGTTTTGCTGATGGTGCCCCTGTCCCCGAGGTATAGCCTTCGCTCTGGTGCGGTTCTCCCCTCTGCAGAAGCAGTGGATGTCACACACGCAGATCATTGCATTGACACCCGTCGCCATGTCCCCCTTTATGATTTGGGTGGTGGGCTCTGTTCCAGGAACCATGTCCCCAACCTGGCCCCACAAAAGACAACCATAAGCAGATCACGACTACGTGCCAGCTGCTGTCGCCATGTTTGAGATGGAAAGTTGTGGTATTTCGACAACTTGCGAGAGTCACGAGTAAGGTGACACTAATAGGCACTTTGCGGTGACGATCCCATCTTCTGCAAACGACGACTGTCACAGGGATCGTGCAAACAACGGGCTGAACCCTGTGACTGTTGTTGCAGAGCCCTGGGAGGGGCAAGGGGGTTGATGCCATGGGGTGGTGAGGGGCCGGGACCCGGGATCGTAAATGCGTGCGCATGTCCAACCAAAGTGTTGCGATGGCTCTGTGTGTGGATACAAGTCCCGTTTTTCATAATAACAGTCTTGGGCATGTAAGACTTTTCGAGCTCATTCTGCAGGCTCAGAGGTCGCAAGCCCGTTATTTTCGCAATGCTGCAGCAGGCTCCAGCGAGTTGCCGAAATAAAAATTCGGTACAGCGATTAGAGCGAAAGTTCCGCACAAATTCCGCATAAGCGTGTTTAAAGTCACGTAGGCAAGGGCTCGTTCCATGCATGCGCTGAGTTCCAATACTGCTGCTGCTGCAGCTGCTGATCCTGCCGCTTCTGCTACTACTGCTACTACTGCGACGACGACGACGACGACGACGACGACGACTATTACTACTACCACCACCACCACCACCACTGCTACTGCTGCTGCTACCACTCCTCCTCCTCCTCCTACTACTACTACTACTACTACTACGACTACTACGACTACTACGACTACTACGACTACTACGACTACTACGACGAAGACGACGACGACGACGACGACTGCTGCTGCTACTAC